ACTCCCTTCTACCACTGATGACGTTACCTAGCTTGGTAATGAAACGTCTACAAGGAAACTACCAAACTCAGCACCGCATTCCATCTTCAAAATGTACACCAACTGGTCATCTACAACAATTAAGCCAACACCACTGCAAAAATCAGGTGCTATGACTCTTAGAAAAATAAGGAAGCTAGTAATTAGTTTGTAATTAGTGGAAGAAGAGTTCCTTGACCCATTTAATGGAAGGGGAAACTGCCACTCAAGTTTCTAGTCCAATGCTTAAGTGCTGTTCTGTCCCAGCCTACGTGAGTCCTTGTTAAGCTCACAAGGAGAAACCCCTCTTCCAACAAGCAGGCTGGAACCGCAGGGAAAAAAACAATCCCCTTTTATTATTCACAGACCTGAGTCAAAGTCCAAAGCAAACAAACACAGTTCACGGAAACTCAATCCTCAACACGAACGGTTGCCTTTGGCAACCAGCACCTCCCACACCTTCCCTTTTATTATGCAGCCAAGGCGTGGCTTCCTAATGCCTTCTCCTTTGCCTTTGGAGCCGCCCCATTGCATTTCTCTGTCCTTCTCTCTTTGCCTGCCGGCGTTTTCGTGCATCCTGGATTTGTCCCAGCTGTTCTTCAGCACTGTCCAACTCAGACTCCCAGCACAGCTGCATCTCAGCCTGAGCGTGAGTAGAGGGGCCAGGCTCCTCGTCCGACTGTAAGTCTTGGAGCTCCTCAGAGCCTTCCTCTGACTCTGATGTCGCTCCAGGCCCCTCCTCCTCCTCCTCCTCTGATTCCTCAGACTCAGCTGCCAGGTCCACTGGCTGCCAAGGAATCACAACAAATGCCTTCATGTTGCATTCCGTGGAAATCTATCCTACTCCTCAAGCGAAGGTGATGAAAAGTTTCTCAACAAGACTTCCCAAATATCTTTGACCTGGTTCTGCTCAGTCCACCAGATTGCTCTTCTGCAGTACAAGACAGACAGGATAGAACAAGCCTGGCTGGCCATTGGCACACCGTGTTGTTACTTCCTTCACGTGGCCCAACTAATTGGGACAACTAATTAGCCAGATCCGGAAAGGTCATTATCTCTGCTCATTATCCAGCAGAAGAATCTTGCAAAGCAGCGTGAAAAAGGCGTTGTTGTATGATTTGGTAAATGCAGTTGTGACTTGCAGGAGGTAGCTGTCCCATGAAGCACACCCGCACACCTGTTTGTGTTGACGTGTGGGAGACTGAAGCAACTTCCGCCTTCACACACAACTGTTCCCTGTTCCTGCAATTACAGGAACACTTAGTGACTGTTCAGAAGTTACAACAGCACTGAAAAAAGCAACTTGTGACCGTTTTTCACACTTATGACCGTTGCTGCATCCCTGTGGTCATGTGATATACATTCAGATGCCGCACAACAGACTTGTATTTGTGACGGTTGCAGTGTCCTGGAGTCACGTGATCCCCTTTTGTGACCGTCTGATGAGAAACGTCAATGGGGAAGTCAGGTTCACTTAACAACTAATTGAGTAAGTGCAGTGATTCACTTAACAACTTGTAAAATGGGGCAAAATTCACTTAACAAACGCTCTCACTTAGCCACAAAAAACTTGGGCTCAATTGTGGTCATAACCTGAGGACTAACCTGTATACCAGTAAACCTGTCTGCTGACACAAGGACAAGAAGCCCAGCGGGAAAGGAGAGCAGTAAACAGTGGTGACATAATTTATATATTGTGTTGATCCTACGTATTGCCCGTGTTTGCAGAACTTCTGAATTGCCTCCAAACAGAACTTAGGAATAGAGCTATACAATAACTCTAGACTTGGGGGAGAAGTGCAGGTAGATAAAAGAGAATATCTGTAGCTCAGGGCTGAAAAGAGGGTTCCTTGAGCGTGCTTTTTTTCCTTTCATTACCAAACTAGGTAACATCATCAATGCTAGAAGGGAGGGAGGTTTGCAGAGTGGAGGAAGGAGAGGAATGTGGGGTCCTTGGTGCTCTCTGAGCTTGGTTGCTGTCTTGCAAACGTTTCATCACCCATCTAGGTAACATCATCAGTGCTAGAAGGGGATGGAGTTTGAGGAGGAGGAGGAGAAGTTTGAGCAGGATGAGTTGGAGGAGGAGGAGGAGGAGGAGGAGGAGGAGGAGGAGGAGGAGGAGAGGAGGAGGAGGAGGAGGAAGAGAATGATGATAACTGTGGGGTCTTTGGTGCTCTCTGAGCTTGAAGATGTTTCATGACCAAATGTGGTAACATCACCATTGCTGATGATGTTGCCTGGTTTGAGTAATGAAACATTTCTAAGAAAACAAGCTCAGAGAACCCCAAGGACCCCTCAAGTGCAAGCAGAGCTGGTGGAATTAAATGCACCATCAGTTTAGAGTCCTTGCGTCGTCATGAAATTTAAACCTGGCCTCCTTGAATTCCACGGACCTTTACCTCACACTAATTTAGTGCTGACCATTAGTTCAGGGGTCCCCAACCCCCAGTCCATGGACCGGTACCGGGCCGCAACTTGCCAGCAACCGGTCCGCACAAACAAGCAAAGCCCCATCCATGGGATGCAGGCAGCACCCAAAACTAGGCACTCTCCAGTCCGTGGAAAAACCTTTCTCCATGGAACCGATCCCTGGTGTCCAAAAGGTTGGGGGACCTCTGCATCAGTTGACTAGATTCTTGTCTATAAACTAGGGCAATAAATCTTTCTGGACTACAACTCAATCTGTGATCCTAAGCCTTTGACAAAACTATTGTATGGCCCTTTTTTATTTTAGATACTTACCCGAGGAGGTTAGCTAGTCTTCAGATGAAGGATCTTATCTGATGCTTTCAGAAGAATGGACCCAGTATTACTTATTTTTTCCTGCAACGGAGACCATTTTGTAGCCACAGCTTTTCGTCATAAAAAATGCCCCGTATGAGTAAATCTGACGTGTTTCTTCTTATTCCTTCCACTAATAAGAGGCAACATGAACCTCTCCTTTTCGAGGAATATCTAACACCACTAGATGTCACCAATGTTCCATGAAGATTTTACACATTACTGTATACATTTAGAATGGAATGGAATGGAATGGAATGGAATGGAATGGAATAGAATAGAATAGAATAGAATAGAATAGAATAGAATAGAATAGAATAGAATAGAATAGAGTAGAGTAGAGTAGAGTAGAGTAGAGTAGAGTAGAAAATCTGGAATAGAATAGAATAGAATAGAAAAACTAGAATAGAGTAGAGTAGAGTAGAGTAGAGTAGAGTAGAGTAGAGTAGAATAGAATAGAATAGAATAGAATAGAAAATCTGGAATAGAATAGAATAGAATAGAAAATCTGGAATAGAATAGAATAGAATAGAATAGAATGGGACCTTGTAGGTCATCTAGTCCAACCTCCCACCCAAGCAGAAGACCCTACACCATTTCTGACAGATGGCACTCCAGTCTCTTCTTGACAGCTTCCAGGGATGAAGCTCCCACAACCTCTGAAGGCAATCTGTTCCATTGGTGGATTGTTCTCAACTGTCAGAAAACTTCTCCTTATTTCCAGGTTGCTTCTGTTCTTGATTAGTTTCTATCTGTTGTTTCTTGTCCTGCCTTCAGGTGCTTTGGAAAATAGGTTGACCCCCTCTTCTCTTTGACAGTCCCTCAAATACTGGAAGACTGCTATCATGTCTCCCCTGGTCCTTCTCTTCATTAAACTAGACATACCCAATTCCAGCAACCGTTCTTCATAATGTTTTAGCCTCCAGTCCCCTCATCGTCTTGGTTGCTCTTCTCTGCACCCTTTCTAGAGTCTCAACATCTTTTTTATAGTGTGGAGACCAAAACTGGTTGCAGTACTCTAGGAGTGGTCTTACTAAGGCTTTATGCAGTGGTATTACCTGCATTCCTCACGTGATCTTGATTGAATCCCTCTATATATCAGAGCATGCACAGTCTTATTGTGCTGAGATAACCCAGGAATCAATACAGTAAACAGTGGTTTGTATTAAATGGTGGTTTATATTACACTATCTACAATATACACTAGGAACAAAATACATACATGTGGTAATACAGCAAATTCAACAGACAGCAGTTACAGCAGGAAATGGACGAGAGAGGACACAGCAGCAAAAGCCTTCCCTTTTATACTCAGGCTCTTAAAGGGACACAGATCCTGCTGAGTCACTCCTATCATTGCATCATCCACCTTATGCTACATTACATCATTACATAAGCCGTGTAGCTATTAAATTATTACCTTGACAAATGACTACAAGTTTGTGTTAGCGTCTCCGACAGCTGCTGTGCAGCTCCGTGACGATCGGCCTTGACAAATTCACCGTAGGTCAATTACAAAAGGCAATTGGAACAGCTTACATCCTCCAGCACCATCAGTCCACATCTGCCTATGGCAGGTCCTTGGGAAGGACTGGATGGGTGCCTAAAAATGCCAAATCCAGTCTAAACATTTGGCTTTCACAGAATTAGCCTACACAAACCCTCATTCTGTTGGCATCATGGGGTGTACTAAAGAGAAGTTGGAGATGATAGAAGTTGATTTTTTTTCCCTCCATGTTTTTTCTTTTTGAGGGGAAATTTCTTCCCTGCCCTTTTTTTTTTATCCAGAAGATACCTCTGTGAGATGGGGTTGCACAATGAATCACAAAAGAGCGGTTGCCACACACTACAATCAAACAACCTGCTCTGTTTTACAATCCAAGCAACAGAAAACAATTGCTTGCAAATGTCTTTTGACTACAACCAGATTGTCATTTTTCTTGGAATAATTCCCATGCAATTAACCGGGATTTACACTGGGGAAGATGTTGTTTTTTTAAATATAAAGTTGTATTGATTTTTTCCCCCCGCAGAGTTCAATAGTAATCATTCAGCAAAAACGTGTTATCCAAGTATCTTATTCACTAATGCAAATTAAATTCCTAATCCCTAAATCTTTTCTTGAACTGGGGAAGATGTTTCTAGGTTGCAAGAACACAGATATAATTCAGCTGATCGTCAACGTGCAAAGAGCAACTGAGGAGATTTTTTTTCATGATTTTTTTTTTAAAAAAAATTGGGAACACCTAGATAATTTTTAAACAAATCCAAGGTGACTCTAGCCAAAATCCAACACAATACAAAAACTAAGAAGGAGAAAAGTCAGGAAAATTATCCCAAATAAAAAAAAGCCCCTTTTAAAAAGGTCTTCAAATATATACACATCAGGATGCAGGCAACATTTGTTTTCTTAGATGTTTTTCTTAGATGTTTTCATATCCGATATGGATCTTGTGTCGTCCCTCGTCAGAACGCAAGAACTAGAAAAAGGAAAATTATTAATTTAATATTTAGAAAAAATATAAAACTGGCACGGATAAAGTTGAGTTAGACATCTCTCTTCTCTATAAGAGAACTTGGTTTTGGTAACTACACTACCCAAAACGATTTGTCTGTCATGAAAAAAATGATGGACACCCATGTCTTTGGTGGTTAGCATCCTTACCTAGAGCTCTTTCATTTCTTCAGGGTTTGGGAGTTTAATCTGGAGAGATGCCCGGAGATTAGTCCAGAAAAAGGCATGCTTTCTCGTGTCTTTTGGCCATTCCAGGTAGGTCCTCCGGGCCATGAGAGCTTTGAGTTTGTAGTACCTGTCGGGGATGAGGTAGGCCGGTATGGGCTCCAACAAAATCAGAATTAAACCGTCGGCGTTCTCGCTGAATAACTTGTGATGAGCAAAATACAGCTCGTAATGGCACCACTCGCTCTGCACGAAATTGGGAGACAGCACGAAGATGGACTTGTAGCTCTTTTCTATGGAGTCTATGATGTTCTCCACAATGCTCTTCCCGGCGATGAAGTTCCTCTCGTGTTGACAAATCTTTAGGGACCCGTCTTCCTTCTCCAGATTGGGAATTAGCTCAGTTTTGACCCAGTGAGCGTCATGCTCGCTGTAGGACACAAACGCATGATACTGGACGTTCTCAGAGATGTCTTCGGATTTATTCTTCCATATTCGGTGCTTCACTTGGCTCCAGCGCCAGATCATCTTGAAATACCAAGGAATGTCAAAGCGGATGCAGAGGAAGGCTACAACGGCTATTATCGACAGAGTAACCACCAGAACAACTATAATCAAGAGAGTCACGTTGCACTCAAGTTCAGAAATATGGAAATCTTTTAACAGAGTTTCTCTTATGACGCTGGGAGAGTCACACCTATAAACATCAGGCCAACCAACTAATGCCACGGATTCTTCTTTTTGAAGATTAATCAACTGCCTTAATTCACAGTTGCAGTGGAAGGGATTATGTCCTCCTTTTAATCTTCGGATGTTCTGACAGGTCTGGAAGAATTCAGAAAACTGGTCCAGGACAAAATTATTTTCTACGTTGAGCATGTGAAGGTTGCTAAAATGGCCGCATCCTGGAAAGGCATTGAGTCTGTTAGAAGCCAAGTTTAACTCCTTTAAAGCAGTCAGGTTAGTGATCTCTTTAGGCACAGCTGAAATATGATTACTTTGTAAGTTCAAAATTTGGATATTGTCCGGTAAACATCTAAAAACCGAGTCGGTTAACTTGTTGAATGACAAATTCAGTTGCGTTATATGTTCGCCCCAGTTGCATTCGTTTCCACTGTCTTTGTAGTACAAATTATTCTGGCTTATATCCATATAATTCAGGGAGGTCATGTCGCTTGTCATTAAACTCACCTTGGTAAGATCTTCAAGTCTATTCTTTTGTAAAAGGAGTGTTTGCAGCATAGCTAAGTGTTCGCAGCCTCTTAGCATTGTGTCAGTCAATGTGTTGTTTTTAAAACATAAGTACTTAAACCGACTGGGTTTTTCAGGACACAACATATATAATATACCAGAATCAGAAATAGTCAAACTGTCAATGTTCAAGTTTGAAAAAGTTGAGTACACGATGTCCTGGTCAAATGTTGCTGTGTCAAGGAGTGTATATTTGATGGTTAAACTCTTTAATGAGAGATCCGCATTTTTAAAAGCTCCAGCGTTGAACGTAGTAATGGTTGGATATAAGATGGTTAAATGGTTAATGCTGGATTTCCCCACTGCCTTAAAAACATCAACGAGCTCTTTCCAACTGAATTTCGTGTCAGTTATGGTTAGATTTAGCAACGTGCTTTTTTCAGTTAGCTTCGACAGAAATGTTCTTAAGTCTTCAACTTGCCCCAGTGGGATCTTAGAAAGTTCTAAACTTTCTGTACCGTTGAACCCCAGATTCAAGAGGAGGCGAAATTTTGCGCCTTGAGGGAGCACAATCTGAACCCTCTTTGCGCTGAACACTAGAGGGTTTCCTGGCCCATCTTCATAAAGACCTTCTAAGCCCAGAAACAGAGTGTCCGCGTGTAAGTGCACAAGAGCGTTGAGACTTGAAAGCTTTCTTGTACTAATTCCAAAATAGTCCAGTTTTGTGATTTTGATGAATTCGGTGGAGAACAGCACGGTGACAAAGTCATTGTAAGCCAGATCTAGATGCTTGAGGCTCTTCATAGGGAAACTAGACACATTCCACAGATTGTTGTGAGACAGATCGAGGTGCTCTAAGATTTTGTTGTGCTGGAAAACCCCCAGATCAATTTCTCCGATAGAATTATGAGACAGAATTAGCACTTTTAAGTTGGGAAGGGAGCGAAAACTAGAGACTTCTAGTTTAGACAGATTATTATCCGACAGATCCAGAACGCTTGTTTGGGTTGATAAATCTTTGGGAACCGTAAAGAGGGAACTCTTTGAATAGTTCGCTATAAGTTCACTTTCCGTGGCTGAGTGGGCGAAATTCCATAAGGTTATCACAAATACACAAATGGAGAGAAAGTGGTTCGTAGTTGACATTTTCCTTCCAGCCATAAGGACAATTGGATTGAGGCTCCTCTCAGCTGGGCATCGTTCTGCAAAAAAATAATTCACGGTACAATATTACATCAGCCTTTAATAGTTCATTGTTTGGCATCCTTTATTCTTTTGAATGATAATAAATGAAACTTAAACAGAATAACAGGCATGTCTGTTAATAATATATTATCACGAAAGCTCATATTGGTGTTCTAAGATACTAAAACATGATTATATTATTATTATTGTTATTGTTGTTGTTGTTATTATTATTATTATTATTATTGATCATCGCACAATCAGCCAGATGTTCAGACTGGATTTGGCATTTTTGTCTACCTATCGAGTCCTTCCCATGGACCTGGGATAGGCAGATGTGGATGTTTGATGGTATTACAGATCTCGTCGCAGGATGGAAGCGGTTCCTAGTAGGGCCACCTTTTGCAATTGACTGATGGCGAATTTGTCAATGCCAATGGTGTTCATTGACAAATTTGCCATTATTATTATTATTATTATTATTATTATTATTATTATTATTATTATTATTATTATTATTACTATGGATCATCGCACAGTCAGCCAGATGTTCAGACTGGATTTGGCATTTTTGTCTACCTATCGAGTCCTTCTCAAGGACCTGGGATAGGCAGATGTGGATGTTTGATGGTATTACAGATATCGTCGCAGGATGGAAGCGGTTCCTAGTAAGGCCGCCTTTTGCAATTGACTAATAGCGAATTTGTCAATGCCAATAGTGTTCAAGTGGTGCTCCAGTTGTTTTGGGATTGCACCCAAGGCGCCTATTACTATTGGTACTACCCTTGCTTGCTTTTGCCACAGTCTTTCTATTTCTGTTTGTAGGTCTTTGTATTTTGTTATCTTCTCCAATTGTTTATTATTATTATTATTATTATTATTATCATCATCATCATCATCATCATCATCATCATCATCATCATTATTATTATTTCTCTTTCTTTCTTTCTTTCTTTCTGTCTCTGTCTCTGTCTCTGTCTCTGTCTCTGTCTCTGTCTCTGTCTCTGTCTCTGTCTCTGTCTCTGTCTCTCTCTCTCTCTTTTTAAAAGGCTCATGGCGGAGCAGCTTCAAAAGAGGAAGTCAGGCTGAAACAGCCCAGGGGAGAGAAATGCTCTGAAAATCAACAAAGCGAAAGCAAAGGGACGTTTTGATGGCCGGGGCCCTTCCAAACCTACTTTTTGATGCATTCCCGGGAGAGGAGGGAGGAGTGTTGGGGGGGGGGCTGTTGTGACCACTTTGCAGTTGCAAAGGCCGGGGGTGGGGGGAGGGCAGGACCGGGGCAGGAAGGGAGGGATCTTCCAGTGACGCCCCTGGTTAGAAGAGAAGGAAGCTCTGGTGGAGAAGACACAACCCAAAAGCACTTCTGATGTGATTGTGATTGTGATTATGACTATGACTATGATTATGATGTTTGTTTATGATTATGACTATGACTATGACTATGATTATGACTACGCCTACGTTTACGATTACATTTATGTTTATGTTTATGATTGACNCTTACGGGACTCAGGGCGGTGAACAGGCAATAATAAAAATCACAATAAATATTGAATAAAAAGCCTGCTCTAAAATACCCCATATAAAACCCCTAGCAAAGCCCAATCAAAACTACACCAGGCCGGCCGCATGGAATAGATGGGTTTTCAAGGCTCGGCGGAAGAGGCGCAGGTCCGTAGTTGTACGTAGGTCGGGGGGGGGAGGTCATTCCAGAGGGCAGGAGCTGCCACAGAGAAGGCTCTGCCCCTGGGGGTCGCCAGCCGGCATTGACTGGCCGACGGCACCCTAAGGAGGCCCTCTCTGTGGGAGCGGACTGGTCGTAGGGAGATATAATAATAATAATAATAAAGTTGGAAGGGACCGTGGAGGTCATCTAGTCCAGCCCCCTGCTAAGGCAGGAAACCCTATACCATTTCGGACAAATGGCTGTCCAGTCTCTTCTTAAAAACTTCCAGTGTTGGAGCATTCACAGCTTCTGGAGGCAGGTGGTTCCACTGGTTAATTGTTCTGACTGTCAGGAAGTTTCTCCTTAGTTCTAGGTTGCTTCTCTCCTTGATCAGTTTCCATCCGTTGCTTCTTGTCCTGCCTTCAGGCGCTTTGGAGAATAGCTTGACTCCCTCTTCTTTATGGCAACCCCTGAGATATTGGAATATATGCTATTCTTATTCTTATTTTGATTTTTCTAAGCGCTGGGCAGCGAAGGAGAAGCACGCAGCAGCCCCGGGACAGCTTCGCCTTAAGCCTCCCCAGGTGCGTCTGGACCCCAGCCCTCTTCTCCCCAACTCGGGGCTGATTCACACGTTCCACCTACCTTGGAAGGACGAATCGACCTGCCCGAGGTTTTTTTGGGGGGGATACGGCGGTTCCACGAGAGTTTGAAAAGGCCAGCGCGCACCTGCCTGCCTGCCTGCCTGCAGACGTGCGGACACGCGTGTCGCTCCGCTCGGGACTCGCCTGCTTTTCTGAACAGGAGGCGGTGGCCCGTTTCTCCTTCCCCTTGCCGGGAAGACCCCCCCACCCCCGTCCTCCCCTTCGCTTCCGGACTCTTCCCGTTGCTTGAATGACCAGCAAAGGCGACAGGTGGGGGGGGGAAATCCGGGCTGAGC